AAAAAAAAAAAAAAAAAAAAAAAAAAAAAAAAAAAAAGGACACTGAACTTTCATTCACTGAATCCACACGTAGAGAGACATTTAGACCATTGACTCGTAGCACCAACACGACACGTCTTGTGCAGATCATCTACTCGGACAAAGGATTCTACGTTTGTCTTGGAGATCCAGACCCTGTAGTGACATATCCGTCAGTCCCAATTGACAGATCAACTTCATCCAAATATCCAATCCACAAGTCCATTGAATACTTGCGGATGCCCCCTGCGGGATTTATTTCTAGGAACAGCAGGGAGAAGTCGGACATGAAGTAGATACACAAGGTTTCCATGACTTCATCACTTCCACCGCCAAGTCTATACTCCGGATGATCTTCGCCCTACATCCCCTGTTTCTTTCAAGCTCTCGCGTAGTTTCCTCCTTAAGGATCAAAGTTGTTTAAGTTCCATATTCATTTGTCAGCGGGGAAAAAGACCGCATAGCTACAGGATTCCCGATTTCACCCAGAGCTGTCCTTGGTTGCGCAGATCCATTTCGACAGCCGCCCTTGCATCCTCCTATCATGCTGCACTGCCCCCATATAAAGTTGGAAGACCCCCATTGAACCCCGTCTCATTGTCTAATCTGGTCTCGTCCGCGGAAGCATTCTTGGAGTAGACGGGAATTCAAATACCCCACGGGGTGCTTGCCTCATTTTACTTTGTTCCTTACCAAGTCGATCTACCGACGAGGGAAAAGGTACAGAATGGCCGAAGCAGTTACCTGTCATATGTGATATAAAGGCCACAGTATCGCCAGTGTCGGCTTGTCGTCCTGAGAATCTATCCAGTTCTCTGAATTGACCATAACTTAACAATACAGGCACCCAACATGGGTGCCTCTTCCCAATGGCATCCCCGCCACCGACATCCACCGCAACCGCACCCTCGCAACAATTTCCCGACGACTCCATCCTTCAGCATATCCACATCAACCAGACGCAGAAATACGTCTTCTCGGCGTTTGCCGGCGTGGTCTGGTACAACGCGATCGAGCTCATTGTCCTCTGTCTGACCACCTTCAAACGCTACCGCGGCTGCTATTTTTGGTCCCTCCTCCTCGCCTCCATCAGCCTCATCCCACACGTCGTCGGCTTCTTTTTCCTCTTCTTTCTCTCCACAACCGTCACCCCCTATGTTGCCATCGCCTTCATCATCCCGAGCTGGTGTACCATGGTCACCGGCCACTCTCTCGTCCTCTGGTCACGTCTGCACCTCGTCCTCCAGAAACCAAAGATTCTCCGCGCCATCCTAGCCATGATCATAGTCAACGCCATCACCATGGTCGTCCCCATCACCGTGCTACTCTTCGGCGCCGTCTCCCCGCACGCTAAGCACTTCACAGCGGGGTACGAGGTAATGGAGCGGATCCAGCTGATCGTCTTCGCGGTACAGGAGTGCATCATCTCAAGCTTCTACGTGTTCGAGACAATCAAGATGCTCCGCCTGCGGCCACCGGAAGCACGGCACCGACGGATCCTGACGCAGCTCCTCATCATCAATGTCGTGATTCTCGTGCTGGACGTCGCTGTCGTCGGGACCGAGTATGCGGGCTACTATGCCGTGCAGGTGACGTTCAAGCCGGTGGCGTACAGCATCAAGTTCAAGCTCGAGTATGCAATCCTCGGGCGGTTGATTCAGGTCGCCAAGGGGGAGACCCTCGCGCGCGAGCAGGTCTCGTCGAGTGTGCAGGGGTTTCACTCGGATCCGTCGGAGCAGACTGCCACGGTGGGGAGCGCGAGTCTGACTCCCCCGCGACCGACTCCTGAGAGTACAGGGACGGGTATGTCGTATATCCGCGATGAGGATACGTATGCGTCCATGAGGTTTCACGAGAGGCGGTCGCTTTGATCGATTGCCTAGTCGATTGTGGACTGTAATATAGCTGTACTAGATAATCAAGATTTATGACATAATATATGATTTATTTGCTGTGCAATGTAAACCCTGACAGTATTTCTATCCCATTACAAGCCGTCACTTCTCAGGTAACATTACTCCTTAAGGCAAAACCCTCAATGCTAATTCTATATAGGAATCGAATCATCGTGGTCTGTTTCATGATGGACTCCGGCTGAGCGTAATAATGGCCAAGAGAGTCCTTCAGCCGTATCATAAACTGCTTGCAAAGCCCCTTGGCTACACATCTACCTCTCAAATCCTCCAAATCCAAGCTAACCGAACAGACGCAACATACCCCAGCACAGCCAGGCCCAGAAAATCCCGTTCTAACCCATCAAAGCCCGCTATTTCTTCCGTTTTAGCAAGCAGGATAGACACTACGCCCGTACTCGCATTGAGCAAGCTGGTCATGATCCCTAACCCCAGCGGAATGACGGCCCTCGTGGTCCTGGTGGATGGTGTCTGCACCGTCAGACACATCACCTTGCGCGTCTCTCCGCTGCCGGTCGCTGTCGACGATCGAATGGCTCCGTACTCGTACCCCCTTCTCGGTACCAAACTCTCGCACCGAGCTGTTATCGGTACTGTTTGAATTCTGCGGGCGACTCGCGAATACGGAGGACTGCGCGACAGCAGCCCAGAAGGCAACACCGTAGAGCGCAAAGGCGATTCCGAGCAGACACAGCGGGAGGATTGGCATGACCCGACAAATGAACCGGAGGTGGGCTAGTGCCAGCAGGAAGTTGGAGGTGAACAAGGCGTGGAGACAGCTTCAGAACCATGGCAGGTCGAGTAAGAGGCCGATTAAGGGGACGAGGATTCCTGAAAGGGCGTAGGGGATACTGAATAGCAGATTCCAGGGGTCAGATTTGGGGAATTGTTTCACGACGGGCCCTGGGGGAGAGTACTTGGTTGCGAGCCCCGCTGTGCGTTGATTACCGTGGTAGAACCATGATGCTAGAAAACGCTGCGTGGAGTTGGTGAAGGTATTGATGCCCCCATATTCCAGGACGCAGATGAGACTCAGATGCCAGTAGATGCGAGGAAGCTGACGCACGGGAACGGCAGAGCCGGTATCTGGAGCGGTTGTTTGTCTAGATACGGCATTTGTGAGGGCTAGAAGAGTGGTGACGCTGATAGCAATGGCGCCTAGCGATAATAGAGTTCCCATCCAAGTTGCGGAACTACATTGGAACTCCCGATCATATTCGGGATGAGGGTTGAGGCGGCGACACTCCCTAGTCGGGATACGCCTAGATTCAAAGCCAACGACAAGGATAACTGCTTGTCCCTGAGCAAACGAACGGAGAGAATCGATAAACTTAGCACAGACCAACAAGTAATGACCATGAGGGAGGCAGCGTACTTGAACCAGCGGGTGATGATTTCGCTTGCCAACACGCCAATGACCACTCCGCCCAACTCGATCAAGCCACGTCCAAGGATCAGGGCCAGCTGAGACCGCATCTGAACAGCAAGAGCAAAGGAATGCTTGTCAGGACTTCTCGCCTTGTTCTGAGATCATGTAGTTAGACTTTCAACCTATCTCCCGGCATCGCTTTATTGGTCGTTACTAAGGTTTCGTAATGATGCCTCTCACACCTGCTGGCAGCGAAAGTAGCCGCACCGGCCAAGAAAGTCAAGGGGAGTTGACATCCACGGTCTCGGGCCGGAAGAGGACCCTGTGTCACGTTCGAAGGGTAGATACTTGTGGTGGGCGGTCTATAGTGGGCCAAATCGCCAGAATTACTACGAAGCTGTGACCTGACCAAGGAGGAACTTAAACATGCTTTTGGGCAGATCTCAAAGAAGGTGTTCTGCATCTATTAAATGTGAGTATATGTCCTCTCCAGCTTCCTCTGGATAGCACTGATTCAATGCTGGTGATATAGAGTTACGGCAGCCGGTATCTGTGCTGACAAGCGCTTTGTGGAACATAAGTGGGTAGACCTCCAGAAGCTGCACACAGTCATCGTGTTTTAAGGTCTTGACCAGCTATAGCTGCCCAGATTACCAGCATGAGCTAGTCTCTAAGTGGGAATCTGTGTGGATGATCATCATATCAACCCTTAATAACTAAGATGCTTTAAGATCACAGTCTTTTCGCTTTCTGGTTGATCTTTAATCAATGCGATTTCTTCGATCTTCATATGCAATTGGTTCCTTTTGCCCTGATTAGCACTCTCAATGCATCCAATTCCATATTGTATTCCCTCGCAGACAGTATTATTCCCTCGCAGACAGTATTATTCCATCAGACAGATAGCTAAAGTACCGATAGATTATCTCCATGTCGATATGAGCGGCGAAATCTCGTCAGAGTGAACTCAACCGCTGCACAGGGAACTTCTCCTCCTCAGGCTCATCTGACTGCATCTTGGTCCATTGAGCGCCGATGCGGAAACATCGCAGATCGTCGTAATGCCTCCCGATCAAATAAGGCATATAGGCATTTCCACAGCCGAGGTCGTGTTCTGCGACGACCGTATACTCGGCCAAACCCGAAACATACTCGAACTCCCCAACGGACTGGATGGGAATGGTGTGCAGCGGATCCGCGCGCGTCCCACGCACTGTCAAACGGCCCTTTCCAACCGCTCGCCGAGATTTATGTTCCACCACATCCAGGACATTGACCTTGGGCTCCCACTGAAGGCCCACCCCTTGCGAGTGAGGATACGCCTTGATCTCAAACTGAGATCCCCGAACCGTCTCTGCGGCGAGGTCGTCACCGCACTTCATCTCCACCTCAATGAGCCGCACGCCATTGCGCTCCGCGTAGCCGTAGCGATAGTTGCCCGAGCGCCAAAGCCGAGTGATGCCTGTCTTTTTGGTCTCGCCCCAGACCTCGCGGCCCCAGGTAACAGGAGTGTCGCCACTGATCAACATGAGCAGGCAGTATTTCCCAGTAATACCCTTAAACTTCGTATCGAGCGTGACAAGGGTGCAGTCGAATTCACCGCACAGGCGACTTTCCATCGTTCCCACCAGGATACTCCCAGTAGGATTATCGGCTGGCTCCAAGCCTGGCGGGAGAACGCTCTTCACAAACTCCAAGGTTGTGCGGAAGGGTACTTTGATTGCCTCCTGAGAAAATTCAGGCCTGGAGGAAAATTTCTCCCAAATGGCTACCTCTTCGGGGGTCGCTACGTAGGACATCGTGTATGAAAATTCAAAGTGATGAACAGACCAGGACCGCGACTGGGTTGGCAGTGGTGAAACAGGAAATCAAACAGACGGCGGGATCAGATTGAGGTGCTCAGGCAAGATGAGCATGGATAATATCCGGGTCAGATGTCTTCGTAATCAAAGAGATATGACTCCTCGTTATATAGAATATGTCTTCCCAGTCCCAACAGCATTGGTAAGACCAACAGCCAAAGGTACTGTTTTTGAGGATTTCCTCTTTCGATAGGAGTGCGAAGCAGTCAGTGGGCGCGAAGATTACTCCACATAATTCCCACACTCCTCTCCGCATGTTTTTGTTCCGATAACACATACTCGCATCGCGATAGCTCGGCCGTTTTCCGTCTACGAATAAGTCCTTTCATGCCTAATTCGGACAATGTGCGAGCAAATTGCCACAATGAGCCACGGGGCCGGAGACGCCGGCTGGTCCCAGGGGAAATCAGGGCTTATAATTCCATTCAGGCTGCAAATCGAACAGTATCATCTCAATTCGTCCAATATGCGATAACTTGAATGGACATCGAGGGCTATTTCTCCCCCAACTTTCCTAAACAAGGGAATGGAATACAATACAAGTACCATAGTTGGTCTTGTTTCAATCGGGTGACGCGTTGATGTTCTTTTGAATGCTCTGGGAAATACTGGCAAGCGGCCCATATTTACAGGTTACAGACTGTCTTTCACTCTCAAATTTCACCTGAAAATACTGGACCAGCTGTCCATCTCAGACGCTGATAGTATTGTATCATTGCCCGGCAGCGCGACTTCTCTTTGAAAGAGCTGAAGTTCAACGTCACCACTCAAGTTGCCTTAGCCTCCACTTCAATTTCCACGATCATTCCCGGGATCCCAAGTTCTCGGACACCCACACACGTCCAAATAGGTTGGTGGCACGGCATTGCCTTCTTGAGCTGCTCCACCATCAAATCAAAAGACTTCTCGAGTGAAATGTGGTAGCTGCGCACGGAGTACACGTCTTCCCATCCGCGGAGTCCCGCATTTCGGAGATTCTTTTCCACATTCTGAAATGCCTTTACAATCTGGCCTGGGAGGTCATTCCCATCGATGTTCCCGCTGTCGTCCCATCCGCCTTGTCCAGAGCATTTGACAATGTCTCCAATGCGAACTGCTTGAGAGTATGAGTAATCACGATTGTTGGCCTCGCCGACGCCTGGGTAGTTGTAGTACTGCAAAGAGGACATTCTGTGCGAACTTAAGGCGCCGTCTATGATCTCGAGACGTAAGTAAGCCGCCGTGGGAATCGAAATGGTTTCTGAACATGCATAAGAAACTCACATTACTCAATGGTGTGTCGTTGCTTTGTAGGATGCCAGGCCTTTTCCTGAGGGTCCGGCAGAAAGAACAGTGTCAAATGAATCATTGAGTTATTTATAATCAGTTCCTCGGGTCCGACACAGTTCCAAATCTGGCAGAAGTACGAACAGCATGATCATCGGCATGGGGTTAGGAGAGTTAGATGATAAGGATCGCCAACCACTTCGCACTTTGCTTTCTTTAGGAAACATACCGCCACCAGCTGGAATACCATAAATTTCTCTGTGCTTCCAGTAACCTACAGCTAAGATTCGTAGAGGAATATCTTCTGATCTATTTGCCTTGTACAAAGAATTGTGCTATCTTCTAAAACCGTCAGGGTACTACTCAACACGCCATGTCTACAGCGGTAACACTTACTTTGCCTAATGGGAAACAATACCAGCAGCCAACTGGTATTTTCATTGGCAATAAATTTGTCCAAGCTTCTGGGGATACCCTAGACGTCATCGATCCTGCGTGAGACGGTTCATTCTTCTCCGATGTCTAGCAAATAGAGTTAACCAAAATGCATAGCACCGAGGAGAAGATCATCTCCGTTCAAGGGGCCTCTCAAACTGACGTGGACGAGGCTGTGGCTGTGGCACGCGCGGCCTTTGAGGGCGAGTGGCGAAGCTTGTCATCTACTCAGCGCGGGGGGTATTTGTACCGGTTGGCGGAGCTCATCCACCGTGACCGCGAGCTGATTGCCGCTATCGACGCTTGGGATAATGGAAAGGTAAAATAACCTCAGTGCCTTGAAGAAATGAACGGAGGCTATGAATTTGCAGTGTTGCTTACTATGAGTTTAGCCTTATGCAGCTACCTTGGACGGTGACCTAGATGAAGCCTACAATGTCTTTCGATACTATGCCGGGTGGGCAGACAAGATTACTGGACGTACCATTGAGACCTCCCCGGCAAAGTTGGCCTATGTTTTGCAAGAGCCGCTGGGTGTCTGTGGTCAAATCATCCCATGGTGCGTGGCTCCCGTGAGTGGACTCGTATAATCCGATCAATTAATGAGATAACCCCTGCACAGGAATTATCCCTTTATGATGCTCGCGTGGAAGGTTGCCCCTGCCCTTGCATGCGGCAATGTCGTCGTCCTGAAGCCTGCGGAGCAGACGCCCCTGTCTGCTCTTTACTTCGGGAAACTAGTTGTCGAGGCTGGCCTCCCAGCCGGCGTCGTGAACATTATACCTGGCATCGGCATCCTGGCAGGAAAGGCGCTGGCCGAGCACCAAGGTGTTGACAAGATCGCCTTTACAGGTAGTACGAACACCGGCCGGCTAATCATGAAGTCCGCCGCAAGCAACCTCAAAAACATCACTCTGGAATGTGGTGGCAAGAGCCCGAGTCTGGTCTTCGCCGACGCAGATCTTGAGCAGGCTGTTAAATGGTGCCACTTTGGCAGCATGGATAATCAGGGCCAGGTGTGCACCTCAACATCACGTATTTATGTTCAAGAGGCCATCTACGACGCATTCGTCAAGCGATTTGTGCAGGTCACCGATGACAATGCAAAGATAGGAAATGCCTTTGCGGATGATGTCTTCCAAGGCCCGCAGGTCTCATCTGTTCAATATGAAAAGATCTTGTCGTACATCGAACAAGGGAAGAAGGAGGGCGCAAAGCTCGTGTACGGCGGGAAGAAACATGGCAAGAATGGATATTTCGTGGAGCCCACAGTGTTCGTGGATGTAAGTCGAGCAGCTAGCTCCACTGCCATTTCGTGGGTTCTCACATACATCACATGCTGACGACGATTCTTCCAATGTAGACAACCGAGGACATGAGCATTGTGAAGGAAGAGATTTTCGGGCCCGTAGTCGTGATCAGCAAATTTTCAACGGAGGAAGAAGCCATTCGCAAGGCGAACGCCACTTCGTACGGCCTCGCTGCGGCTGTGTTTTCGGAGAAGGTCTCCCGCGCTCACATCGTGGCGAGCAAGTTGCAGGCTGGCATGGTATGGATAAATTCTTCAGGCGACTCCCACTACGGCATCCCGTTCGGTGGCTACAAATCCTCGGGCATTGGACGGGAGCTGGGTTCCTACGCTTTGGATGCATACACGCAATCAAAAGCGGTTCATGTCAATCTCGGATTTCGGCTCTGAACGAGGCATACTTGTCCAAAATACTCAATGCAAGAGCTTCAGATGGCTGTTTCCAGACATTGCTTAACCATGACATTGTGTACATGTTCTTTTTTTTTGCTACAGAAACAGGTTGCAAATTGAGTTCTACACTAAGGACAAGGTGTTTCCTCTCTGGAGCATCAATTCTAGCCAAGTAGTTCTCATCCCAGCCTTCCGAAGGCCCCAAATATCACGCACGAGCTGTAATCCACTCATATAAGCCCTGACGCGCGTAAACTTTGTCACTTCCATGGCATGGCGTTCAACTAGCTCTCGGTACTCTGTATCCGTCTCCAGCAACTCGGAGCCAGCAATGACGAGAAGGGGCGCCTCGGAGTTGAGCAGCGGATCACCAGGGGGAATCAATCGAAGCATTGTCATTATAGTCTCGACGGCTTTTCGCAGGGGTGGAAAGCCGGCGGGGTGTATACCCTGTGCGACCGACCTTGCCTGGTAGAGCATTATCATCCCCATTGCACGCTGTGAGTCTGCCAGTAGCTGGAGAGACGCCAGCAAGCTCTCTGCTTTGGTCTGTGAGCAGACGGATATTGAAAACGATGCTTTTTCTGCAGACCAATCCTGGAGTTTGGATTCCAGCAAGTATTCGTAAGCTGGGTTGACGCCGTCCACAGAAAGCTCAATTACCCGGCGGTAGTACCGGCCCACATCGATCAGGACTGGGCAGATACTGGTAGCAATACCGGTTACGGGGTGAATGTAACTAACCAGATGCTCGCTCACCACTTTGGAGACAAGCTCTGTTGATGAAAGGATCATATCACAAGGTTCGATGTATGAGGAACAGAGTTCCCAGTAGACGTAGAGACCCAGGAGGTAGCGGAGGAAATCATCTGTGGAGTTGTCCTGCTCTAGAAGCAGCGAAACCACCTTCCGGGTGCCGACGAGATACTGATAACCGTAATCATCATCAACCAGCCATGCGGATGAGATGCCGAGAAGTAGCGAAGACAAAAGAATCGTCCGTAAAAGCGACCCCTGTGAAGATGGGCTCCGCTGCATGGCGCGGTCAATTTCGTTTTGCAGGGATACCAAGGCGCGGTCACGCTCATCGAGGAACTCAGCCAGTTGGGCAACACTAAAGAACTGTCGGTGGGCATGGCTGACGCACTGAATTGTATGTCGCAAGGCCTTGGATCGGCGGAGATATGGGGCCATCCCGTAGGAAAGCGGATTCAGTGGAGGAGGAAGAATGGCCATCGTCAGACAGGCGTGGTCGAACCAGTGGCGTAGAAGATCATTCTCCAAGACTCCAGTGAGTTCGCCGTACGTCTTAGATGAGAAAGGCGCAGACTGAGGTTTTTGGTCTGCCACCAAGAGCCAAGGGCGCTCTATCTGCCAGGTGTCGGAGAGGAAGTTTCCTGTGCATGTCTCATTACGGCTCTGGCATCGTCGACACCGCGGGCGAGTCTCATCGCATTTCACCCGCCGGCGCTTGCATGGCTCACATCCAGATCGGCTCTTGACATGCCTTGCTGGTGGCGGATGTCCTCCACCTGGGCTGGTACACAAGGGTGCTCCTAGCACGACAGCTTTAAAAGAGAAATGGCGGGACATTGTGCGTCGATTACAGTAGGCGTGAGGTCAATCACAACAGATGATATAGACGGGACTCATGACTTTCATCCGCTACCCAACCCCGAGTAGAGATCGGAAGGAAACATGGGGTAGGCTGCGATGCGGTGGCGAACCCCAGTGTCCCGCAGAATTAGCAAATCGTTGCGGGAGCCCACGATAAGAGGCCATGGGTGGGTTCGTAGCGAGGATTGGAAAGCCAAAATTGTATCTCCGTGATCGTCATTGGCCGAGTTTGTTAGCAAGGGAAGTCGACCCAAAGCACGCGGCTATGGTGCCACGCACGACGTTCATTGGTTTTGGCAACAGAACAAGTGATCATGCTCGGGCGAACCCCCTGAAACAATCCCCGTTTTCCACGAAGTGGAGTTGGGACGTGGGTGGAGGTGGACTCCCAAGAAGTTCAGAGGAGACACAAAGGGCGAAAGTCACGGGACCGAGAAATGACCTCTTCTTTTCCCGTTTTGGCCAAACTGCGAGCCCTTCCCCGTCCCCAGGTTTTCGTCTCTGTCCCGGCCATCCCGTTCATTCCCCCAGATGATCGATATCATTCCCTTCGCAGATGTTTGGATGTACGGAGTAGGCCCGGCTCAGATAAGCCAGTCACAGCGAATGACTCTGGCCGCGAGAGCCCTGCTCAACGTCCTGAGAGAAAGCTTATCGGACGGAGAGCGGGTTATAAACATATATATATGTCTACGCGTGCCGGACAAGTGCTACAATAGATTCACTTCTGAGCACCTGCAGGCCTTCCAGTCAACCTCAAGCAAGTAACAGTCTATAGCAATAGTGAACTTGATCCTCACTTATTCCCCGTCTGCCAAATCCGTTAAATTTTTTTGGCTCTTGAAAATGTCCAATGGTTGTTTGGACAAAGTTGGAGAGAAGGCTGAGCCTACTGGAACCTGGCCGTCTCTCGAGGATGGCAATCTCGGAGAGCACCATGAGGTCCATGACCCAGCCGAGAGACCAAAACCTTTCACGACCCTGGCAGCCATGGGTGTGGGCCACTCCATCAGTAACACCGCAATCACCGTCATAGTCGGCCTCAGCAGTGGTATCTCCTTTGGCGGGGACCATTATATTTCTGGTCATTTCTGCTCATGGCATTGGTGGCTCTCTGCGTGGCCGTGAGCTTGGGAGAACTGTCTTCTGCCATGCCCCATGCGGGTGGCCAATATTTCTGGGTGGCACAACTTTGTCCTCCCAACCGATTTCGCCGGCTCATCTCCTACATGGTTGGGATTCTTGCCTGGGCAAGTGCTGTCTGTACTGGGACTTCTGTATGCCTCGCTGTCCCGCAGATGGTGCTAGGGATGATCAGCCTCAAGTCACCAGATTTCGTGCAGAAACCGTGGATGTTATTTGTCGGGTTCCAGATGACGAACTGGGTGACATTCACGTTCAATTGTTTTGAGCGAATCCTTCCTCTCTGCAACAAATCTATCCTTGCATTCACCGTATCCGCCTTGATAGTTATCTTTATATCGCTCCTCGCAGCACCTCGTACCCGTGCCCCTCCCCGGTTTGTCTTTCTAGACATCTGGAATGAGTCCGGGTGGGCCAGTTGGGTTGCGTTCTTGATCGGGATGAACGGGACTAACTGGGGATTCTCCTGCCTGGATGCGGCCTCGCACCTCGCTGACGAAGTACCTGATCCCCGCAGAGACATTCCAAAAGCGCTGTTGAGCACAGTGGTATTAGGAACTTTTACGGGGATCCCAATCACCCTCGCTCTCTTCTTTGCCATTTCCAACATGGACAACGTCGTCACATCTGGTGTGCCGTCGCTGGAGATTTTATACCAGGCATTTAACGGCAATTTTGCTGCTGCGATCGGCCTCCAGACCTTGGTCCTTATTTCTGCAACTGGCGCCATCGTTGGGATTCACACATGGCAGTCCCGTATGGCATATGCTTTTAGCCGCGATGGTGGCTTCCCGTTCAGTAAGCAGATGGGGAAAATTGCACCCTCGCCCTTTTCAACTCCTGTCTGGGCTCATGTCTGGTCAAGCGTCTGGATTTCTCTGTTAGGCTGTCTCTCTCTCGGGTCAACCACTGCGTTGAACTCGTTCATTGCGGCTGGCATTCTATTACAGTATATCACCTATTCAACTGCCATCGTCCTTCTCTTACTGCGCGGTCGACACAACCTAGCCCATGGACCATTTTGGTTTCCCCGAATTGGATACATTGCGAATATCGTGACTGTTGCCTGGTGCGTCATTTCAGTGATCTTCTACTGCTTCCCATACGCTCTTCCTGTCCAAGCGGGTAAAATGAATTATGTCTCTTGTGTCTTAGTTGGCATTATTCTATACGCCTTGGCGTACTGGGTGTTCTATGGTCGGACGCGGTTTGTGATTCCAGCATCAGACACTCTGCATTGAACTTTTGCACTGCTCTGCAATTCTCCTGCCAATCTAAACAGAAGAAATAACGGAGTTGTCTCCTAGTTACCATCCATATATTGCCAGTGATAGAATAACATGATAGACCTTTGCGAGTCGAAAACTTCCATGCAATGGGCATTTGGCGTACCGTGGGGTTAAATGACTTCGAGTTAGAAAATTACCGAATTAGGTCAAAGTGCGAGCGTAGGAGATTATATACAGCTTTACATGTGGAGCAGCCAGACGATTTGTGCAACGCTATGGGGTGCATGCCATCCTCATGGGACTGCAGATGTGGAGCCAGTATAGAGATGGGCGAGCATCCAAGCAACAGCAACAGGCTTTTAAAGCCGTGGAGGATGCGATCCCCAGTTTATTGAATAGCGTCGAGTGAAAAGAAACTAGCATTATCCCGGGCACTTTCAACTCTTCCACTGCCTTTATTGCCAAGTTCCAGACAGCGGCATTGGGTTCAGTTGTCTTGACCGCAGATCTATAATATGTTCAAGAGATGAAGTAGACATCTCCAAGACCTGTCAGAGCTATCTGATACAAGCTGCATCTACCTCAGACCTAGCACATACGACCACAGGGTGTGGAAAACATGGCTTCCCGTCCGCTCAGCCGTACTTAAGCCACACGCCGGCCGGTTAGTAGTTGGGTGGGTGACCACCAGCGAATCCCGGCTGTTGTATGTTTTTATCTTTTTATTGCTGTGTTAGTTATGCCGTTGCTGCTCTGCCTTCACCCTCTTCAGCCTGTTCACCCGAAGCTCACCCGAACCGCCTGAACCTCAATACTGCACACCCAGTGACCCCGCTTAGCCCCTGTCCTGCTGATGTGTCCTGTAAACAGCACTATACTGTGGTCTGATGTACCTATGTCGCTTAGCACATGCAGCCCCATCATGCCTTGATACCGATCGCTAAGACTCCCAAACAGAATCACGATTATCGTAAATAGGGTCAAACACACCCAAACATCGGCCGAGGCCAGACTATCAGTTTCGGAACATCAATTTTGACTGACGGTGGAAATGTAGGCCGTAAAGCACCGGTGGCCTTCAATGTTGTGAATCTAAGTTTCGATCTTTTTGTAACCGACGCTCGACGCCGCTGGCCCTTCTGTAGCCTCCCTATTAAAAACCTCATCTATATTTTCGAACTGCCGGTTACCTGGATGGCGTTTGCACCTTGCCCGCTGCTGCAGGCTGATCTACAGGACTTGAGCTGTCAAACACCCAACTGAGAATCTTCCGGTTCATTATTGTACGTCTTCATCACCATAGGGATTTGGTTCTAGCAATGGGCTAGGGGAATGCGGACCATCATGCACTTGAACTGGAGTTATTTCTCCTAGGTGGACTAAATGAACGATTCGTGCTGTATGACAAATCACGCGTTCCATGGGACTCTCCTATCGGAAGGAGTTCGTCCAGCAGTACCTGGTTGTCCAAGATCTGTCTGCTGCCTGTCCCAACAAAGAAAGTCCCAAGGGTACAGGGCCTTCACCAAGCGCTTAGCACGGTAATCGTTCAGATGCGGACGGGAAAATCGGGCTGAGGCACAAAGTATATCGACGGGGAGTACCAGATATACCAGACGGACACTGTAGATGTGGGAAAGCCACAGAGACGGTACGTCACTACTCCTCGCCTGCCTAAACTTCCATCCCAGCAATAAAACGAATATGAAAAAGCTCATCAAGTAGATTGGACATCAATTAGCATCGAGCATCAAGTCACTTTCTGCAGGGCGCGGCATTTACAAGATGAATAGCGCCTGGCCAGCTGATCAAGAATCTCTTTTGAAACTTTTCACTCCGAATCAACCTAGGCTGCGTAGTGGGCCATGCTAAAGGCGTATTGGAAATTCGGTCGGTCCGGGGTTGGGTTTTTGCTGGCGTCCCGCTTGACCATACAGTTAGGTAGGACATCAACGGTGTGAAAGGAGCCGACTTATTTTGCAGGGCCCCCAAAACGTCCTACCCCTCTGATACTGACCCTCCAATACTCCGGGATAGATTTGCAACATGCATATACGTTATAGGCATCGCACTCGTCGCTTAGCTTCGAAGAGATCGACAAGGAACGACGGATATGGGAGCACTGTGGGGTGTTTGTGCGATGAAGATGGTCTCTCGGTCTCAGATACACTGGCACTAGCAAATTTGCGCCATACGGAGACGGAGGCGGGTTTCCATGGTGAACAAGTAGGTACTACGCACCTTGTTGTGTATTGGAGTGTTAGTAATGTTCATGTTCTCAGCCGGGAGAGGGCTGTCTTCGAACAATGGTCGAAGGCTGCAATCCCCTGACAGCTGGGTTTAGTCCAATTAATGATCCCATACCGTATGAAATAAGCTAGGTGAGCAGGGCACAGAATAGGATGATAATCTAAGGAAGATGATTTACCTTTGAGGCATGTCCATACCCAGAAGAAATAAAAGTCGAAACAAACTGTCCTGTTACTTGTGTTGTCAATATCAATTTTCAATCAGCCGCCCAAAGAAGCGGAAGTATATGGGAGGGTCCATGTTTACCCTTGAAATCATCATTCAACATTCTAGCTCCTATAGCTGGTGAAGCCCTAGGCCACTCCACGCTAAGCCTCTTCGTAGTTCGTTCCAAGAGCAGTGGTGCCCACTGTCACCTAACCAGCATCTGCGGCCTAGAACTCAAGCTGGGGGGGTGCAACTGATCTCCTGAAAATTATAAATAAGACGTGCCTTCCGAAGCTCAACAGCCACTGAGCAATTGAGTCATACTATCCAAATGACTCTTAACCAGTATGACTACGGCAAAACACTTCAAGAAGGAAAGCTGCAGCGAACTGGCTCGCTCAACAAGCCCCCTCAGCTCTTGTTGAAGGCGGTATCACACATCAAAAGTGAATACTTGGCCGAACGAGACGAGTTAGCGACATTGTGGCCCATGCACTGCAGAAACTTTCTGATAGTGAACGATTTGCGCGACCAGAAAATGATTGGCGCCTTAAATCAACATACAGTCATAAGGAGAACGGATCAAATTGTTCAGAATGTGATCTGCACCAGCTAGTGCATTGAACACCACAGGCAACCACTGAGCTTTATATTCACTATGGCCTGATTGCTTCTGGAGACCAAATTATGAAAGATGCTAAGACACATGATTCACTTGCTGGGGAACTAGATGTTCTCTGCTTCAAAATAGAAGCTGCTGGAGTTATAGATAAGCTCCCATCTCTAGTCATACGAGGCATCTCTAATTATTGTGATTCCTACAAGCACAACCAATGGCAAGGATATACGGCTTTTACTTCTGCAGCATATGCTAAGTCACTATTATCCACTGTTCCTGCCATAATGACTTGCAGACAGCTAGGCAAAAGTATACCTTGTATATAAGACCTTGGAATACATCTGGGCTAATTAATATAAGGGTCTGAATTAACTGCCAAGGAAAGGGAATGCTTGCAGAGTTTGTTTCTCACAGGCCCGGCCGAAGATAAGGAAGACTGCAGAGAAGCAAAGGAGAATGTGCAGATAGAATGTGCAAATGGATACTAGAAACTGAGGAGCTCATGCATTGGCTGAATGTCTCAGAAACTAGGGATCCAAAGGAATTAGACGTCCGTTGGTTATATGGTAACCCTGGGACTGGAAAGTCCACCATGGCCGTGGCTATGACTGATAACCTTCCAAAGCAACCATGGTGTGCTAACAGCAAAAGGGTCCTTGCATACTTCTTTTATAACTCCAGCTCTGAAAGGCAGAGAACAGCAGTTTCAATTTTGCGGGGTCTAATATATTGTTTAGTGAAAGAATGTCCATTTCTGATGAAGCACCTACTTTCAAAATTTATAGAGCGCAAAGGTGGCCTATACAACTTGTTTGATGCGTTATAGGCAGTCTTGATAGAAATAGGCTGAGATCACTCTGTTAAACTATACTGCATTATTGACACTCTGGATGAATGTGAATCAGACTCATAGCAGACGCTTTTACGCCAAGTGTATCAGTCCTTTTGGGCACATAGATCAACAAATACATCGTCATCTTGTCTACACATCCTGATCACTAGCCATCCGTATCCTGAGATCCATGGATATTTATCCTGTTTCAGAAACAAAGATCTAGCCTTATATGGTGTGGTGAAGATTAATCTAAAAGTTATGATCCAGGAAAAGGTCAAAGATTTAGCTAAGAGAAAGCTTTACCCGGAATCAGTGGCTGAGGAGGTTTCTCGAATTTTTGAGGTAAAGGCTGAAGGAATATTCCTATGGATAGGAATTGCCCACGGCGACTTGGCTCAACCAGAGGTACAATCCAGGAACGCCGTCAAAATACTGGGGCAAATACAACCTAGATTATATGCTCTATACCGGCAGCTACTAAACAAGGCTCTAGTCAGCAGAGATGACAACAATAATGACAAAATAACAATTGTGAATCTAATAAGCTTTGTTGCATTTGCGCGGCAACCATTATGCTGGAGCTTGCGGAGCTTTGTTAATTATACCCTAATAATAATAAGGCTAGCCGCGTTTAGTTTACTAAAGAGCTCATTGAGTTATGCAGCTTGATGATTATGATTAAAGATGAATATGTATAACTTTTACACAAGCCTGTGAAAGATTTTCTTGTCAAGGCAGAACTTGATATTGATGAGCTAAGAGCTCATGCGGATATAGCAGATTATTGCATCAGCCACATACTGGATTCATGCTAAATCAATCTTTATTATAAGTCCAGAACAAAAGTCATTCTTCAAGCTCAAGTTAAAATCCTGGGAGAAATAGATAGAAAAGTATAATTCCATGGCCAAATTTACTCATGAATGGCTGGAAGCAGGCTTTTCTACATTACATGCAGCAGCACGATGGGATATTATACCATTGATGTTGTGGTGCTCAAAAATTAGACTACATGGTCTGGAATTTTCCCACAGTAATAAAACGACCTATAATGATGTAGAGTTTCCAACAGAGAGTGGACTTACACCACTGCAAGAAACCGCGCGGCAAGGCCATATAAAGCTCATAGACATCCTTTTAAGCAGAACACAAGTTGGACTGAAAATATCTGAACATGTCTGCCGGACAGTAGCTGGGCATTGGAAGACCGGAAAGGACATTATGACCCTCCTCCTGGACCGACAAGGTCAACTCCAGATCACAGAGGATGTAGTCAAGGCTGCAGCAGAAAATGGGAAATATGGAAAGGATATCATGGCACTCCTCCTAGCTGAACACAGAGATCAGCTCCTAATCATAGAGGATGTCATCAGAGCTGCAGCAAGAATAATTGGAAAAGTGGGGTCGATATCATACAACTGCTCCTGGCCCGATGAGGAGAGCAGATCCAGATCACAGAAGATATAGCTTCAATGCTCGTCCGGCGATATGATAAGAATTTGATAGCACTTCTCTTAGACCTACAACAAGGAGGTCAGATCCAGATCACAGAGGATGTGCTCAAGGCTGCAGCTGAGAATTTAAAAAGAGGAAAGGATATTATGGCAATCCTCTTGGATTGAGGAGGAGATCCATTCCTGATCACAGAGAATGTGATCAAGGCTGCAGCAGGGAATAAGGGATGTGGAACTGATATCATAACACTCCTTCTGCACAAAGAAGGAGATCAAATCCTGATCACAGAGGATGTGGTCAAGGCGGCAGCGGAGGATTTCCAGTCCAAATAGGACAAAATGGAGCCTTAATAGTTTGGAAAGGCACTAAATTTGTCCCTATGTGATCATTTACTGCATACAGCAACTAAGGACGTTAAAGATTGCCCAGGAGGGGAGTTACACACACACACACATATCAGGGGGAGACAAAGATACTCCTAAAGACTTTCAGGTGCCCTCATATGAAACACGCTAAGACGCTTTTAAAATCTTACAGAAGGAATTGGGCATTGGATATTGCGTCGTTGAAAAAGTCAAATTCTGGTTAAAAGCCAAACGTCACTTTTTGATCCACCTGCATTTTGAAGTATCCGCCGCAAGAGTGTCTCTTAAGGACGACCCGAGCTGGGGGTCATAAGCGCGCATGAGAGGACGCAGAAATACTAATCGCTGGGGTTGATTTACATAGAATGGGTTGACGATGTTTGGCTCACTGCGCGAATTGAAATCAACCAGCGAATATGTGCATTTCTGTGCTATTGGTGCCTGTGTTGCGCTTCTTTACGGCAAAAAGATCGGGGCGTCCAGTCCCGTCCCAGTCGGCCATTGCAAAGGCAAAGGTTTCATCAGTAGTATGTAGGGCGGTACCAGTATGTAAGAGGAAATCCTGATAGTTCA